ATATATATATATATAGCCTTCCTTCTTTTTCTTCCTTCATCCCAGTCATTCCTTCCTTTGAGCAATTTCTTTCCCTTTCCTATAATCTATTGTATGTTTTAAGTTTTACATATTCTTCAGGTTCCTACACCAGGGAGAAAATATGGTGTTTACACATGTGGGTCTGATTTATTTCACTTATGAATATGACTCTAGTTGCATCCATTTACCTACAATACCCTCCAGTTTATCTTTTTCATAGCTGAGCAATACTCCATTGTATAAACATATCACATTTTTTAAATGTATTCCTCATTTGATGGGCATTTGGTTTGTTTCCAGGATTTAGCTATAACAAATTGTGCTGCTATAAACATGAGTGCACATATATTGCTGGGGTATGATGTTTTTAATTCTTCTGGAAAAATACCCAGAAGGGGAATAGCTGGGCTAAGTGGGGCTTCCCATCCTAGTTTTGTGAGGAATCTCTAGACTGATTTCCAGAGTGGTTTCACCAATCAACACTCCCACCAGCAGTGGAGAAGTGTTCTTTTTTCCCACAGCCTCTCCAGCATTTGTCACTGGTTGATTTCTTAAGGATAGCCATTCCTTGTGGAGTGACATGGCATCTCAGTGTTGTTTTAATTTGCACTTCTCAAATGACTAACAATGTTGAACATATTTTCATGTATTTATTTGCCATTAGTATTTCTTCATCTGAAAAGTATGGATTCATCTCAGATGCCCATTTTTGGATTGCACCTTTGAATTTGGGGGGCCCTATTTTTTAATTCTTTATGTGTTCTAGGTAGAAGTTGTTTGTCTGAGGGTCAGTTGGCTAAAACTTCTCCCAATTCGTGGATTTTCTTTTTACTCTATTGATGATTTCTTTTGATATGCAAAAACTTTCAATAAGATGAGAGCCCAGTTTTTGGTACTTTGAAGTATTTCCCATGCAGTTTAGAATGGATCAAAGATCTAAACAGTAAAACAGAGAATCCATTCTCTATCATTACTGCTGAGACTGCCACTATTATACAATGTTCTTCACTAGTACAAGAAACCATGTACCAAGGCTAATTTGCAAAGCTGGTACTTAACTGCCATAAGACTCAGTAAACCCATACAGAATTGTCTTTAAGCAGGCTCCTACTAATTTCTCAATTTTATATACTTTTGCAACTATTTCCTGAAGCAAAAGATTTAGGACAATGTTTTGATTAATCAATACACTGAACTAAATTCAATTAAATTGCCTCCAGCAAGACTTCATTCAGATGGCTATGGACAGATCAGTGTGTCCCACAACCAGGTCAAAAAGCTTTCTCATATCCATTATTACCGTGTATCTCCTGCACTCAAGGAGCTGAAAAACTGCTAGCTGACATATGAAAGATATATGGCCTCACCTTGTATTTCTGCACTACTTCTTAAAAAGGATTAAAGAGTAAACAGCAGGAAGTACTGCCAAAACATTAGAAAGGTTGTGTGTTTCTTGTGTAGGTGAAACCGTGCCTCAATATAGAGGGATCCTGACTCATGATCAGAAAGGGACTGATGGTTGGAAAACACACAGTAATTACTTTAGAAGTACCCAGCAACCATGAACCGAGTCTAGGAAGTACAGTCATAGAAGTGTGAAAGATGGTGGAGACAGTGTAAAAAGATATGAACGTGCTCACCAATAGAAGGATGCTCTGTGTGGCTCTGGACTCAGGGGATCTGAGAGAGACATTACTGGTGTGAATGTGTTGAACCTGCTGCTTGTGTCTGTACAGGATGAAAATCATAGAGCCACTGGTCCAGATAATAAGCAAAGAAAAACAAACTTCAGGTACAACTACAAATGATATATAGATTGAGCCAAGGACCACCCCGTAGTCAACAAGACAACAGTAACCTACATTTACTTTCTTTCTGATGTTTTCACCATATCCTTTTCCAGACAAGTACCCTGAGTACAGAGGAATAATTAAATTGAACACCATATTTAGGATCCAACAGAGTCTAAGGGACAAGCCAATGTACTTTAGAACTCTACCTTTAACATCTTTCCAGCAAGAGTTCATGGGGCTGATCATGATGTTCTGGACAAAACTCAAGATGCAGATGGTACCAATTGACACAACCCTGCCCACTCTCTCAATATAGGAGAGAAGTTTGCACACAAAATCACTGAAGAATTGTTTCCACCCAAAGACTACCATTGTGTGTGGAACTCCTCTGGAAAAAAGAACAAAGAGGTTGGCTACAAAAAAGTGTTTCAGAATCACATCTGTGGACCTTAAACTATTTCCCTTGTGGACAAGGAAAAAATGATGGTAAAGAAGGAAGAAATTTCCCAGGATACCGATGATTATCTGAGACAAGAAGATTATTCCTATTGCTAAATTGTTTGAACGCATTTCATCATTTCCTTCTAAAATTTCATTCATATTGTGTTGGCATTCATTCCCCTGCATAACATGGCTCATTGCAGAGATTTGACACCAAAATAACTTTGGTGGAGTAATCATGTGGAGTTTCAAAAATCTGAAGAGTGCAAGGAAATGAAGGGAATTTTCATTTCATTTCATTTGGAAGTCATCATGAAGGGTGAGGTGGTGCTAACCTGGGGAGAAATGACAAGTGACAGCATAACACAAAGAAAGTATACGCCAAAACTTTCATTCAATCTAGAAATTTGTCTCAGTTGTTGTGAAAAACCTCAACGGATTAATTGCAAATGGATATGTAAAAAAATAATATAGGTCAAATTATTAATTTGCTCTAATAAAAAGAGAACATTTCTTAGCAAAATAGTAAATGTATTGGTGAAATTGCACATTATATTAAAACTAAGATTTATTTTCAGAAAAAGACAATAAGTTCTTTCGTAGGTAAAGAACATGTATAATATGTTGAATGACATTATTAATCAGGAAACTGAAATAAACTACTACCTGGTAATATCATACATCATTCAGAAATCTAAAATGATATGGCAAGATAGGTCAGGTTTGGTAAAAACATGGATATCTCAAGAACATGCATTTTTGTGTGAGCACCTGCAATGGCACAATTGTTCAGAAAATTGTTCAGTGGTACCTAACTAAACATATAAAAAAATATGATATATACTTATGTTGCAGTAATTTAATTTCTTTGAATATGTTCGCATAAATTCACACATGAATCACAAAAAAGAAGCTACATGTGACTCTATATACTAGCAGTATTCATAATAATCATAGAGTAACACAACCTCTATCTCCATTAACAGTATAATAATAATCACTTTTTTGATATTTAAGCAATAGAATCTTATAGACCCTGAGACTGCATATTGTAAGTAAATAACAAAGAAAAGTTTCCCCCCAAAGTTTCATGCAATGCATATAAATGTTATATGTGAAAATACTCATGGATTTTATTTCTATAAAATACCAAGCAGGTATTAGTGCTCTAAAATCTTAAATGTTAGAAAATGTGTAAATCCATATCTATACAATCTACTTCTATATATATGTCCAACACAACTAGAACCTGAGGGGTAGAGACCTAGATGAGACAGGAAAGAGCTTCAGGTTAAAGATGAAATTGACTCTTGATCTATCTGTTCCATGGTGAGTTGTGTTCCATTTATGAAATTCCACTGAATGTGTCCTTTCAAATGTCTCTTTCATAATTCCACATCCATGTTATTACACAAAGTCAGAAAATATGTTGGAAGAACTGAAGATACTAGAATGTGTGCGACTGGCTGCTTCTGTCAGAATAGGATGAACGTCACAGAACCAAAATCAGAGGTGTTGTTTCCTAATGGGAAGCATCCCACAGTAACAGCAGTGTCGTGTCTACTGGCACTTGCATTTTGTCATGGAAACCAGCAGAGTAGTGCCTTCAGTCTTCTAGGATTTGTTGTGATCTTCCTGGAGGTTGTCAATAGAAAACATAGGTAAATCATGTTTACAAAGAACGCAGAGTTTAGTAAATTAAAATGAACAACCCAAAGTCATTGGGACAATTTAAGTACTACATACCTGGACTTCCTGGTGTTCATGATGATGAGAGCCTCAAGACACAGGTGGTCCCAGTGAAAAACTTTTAATCCAGTATCCATGATGAAATGCTTCAGCCTGTATCTGCCAGTGTCTTGGTGCTGAATACAGGTGTGTGGGAGCCACTTCAAAACAGTGGCTCCAATTATTGACTGTTAATGAGGTTTCTGAATCTGATCTGTGGATCTTCTCTGTACAGAAGTACAATAAAGTCGACCAAATGGTAAAGATGATAGAAACTCCCTGGGTGTCCAACCACACTGTGAAATATGTATGCCATTTCAGGTGCAAATTCTTGGATGGCATTCTGCTCATCTGTGCTGACTGGCATTCGTATTTGTGCTGACTGGCATTCATATTTATGCCTGAGCATCCCACAGGCAACATGAGCTGTGAACTGCACTGATCATACCAACAAGAAGCTACTGTGTGCCATGTGAAATGTTAAATAATTTTGTCAAGATTCTTCCTAAAGTTGCATGCATAAACTTTAAGTAGCATTTTCAAAATGCTTCACTGCCACAATGCCCTACAATTTTACTGTCCATAGTCTTCATAATGTTATTTTATATACTCTGTCTTACATCTTCTTGTAAAGAAACGGATAGTTTAGATTCAGAAAGGGTTAATTAGGCCTTTAATTTTGCAACCTATTTAGGAGCAGAGTGAAGACTTGAATTTGTGGGTGTTTGTTAGAAAGCCCTAATTACATTTTCATCCAAAACACCTTGGTCACTTTCAATTAGGATTCAGTCTGTATAAGGCTGACTCAACATTACTGGTAATAACATAATTTCTTAACATTGCAAGAGACAAACTTTTAGGTCATTCAATACTCTAGCAAGTAAGTGCAATATTACTGTGCTCTAAACCTGTTAGGAATGACATATTAGTATGTAATTAAATAGTGATAGATCAGAAGTAGATTTTACCTTTCTTTTGTCCTTTTCACATTAATTTCTTGCTATTTGAGTTATGTGAAGTTGTCCGCAATGAAGAATAATTGAAGAATTTTGCAATACAGCACACGAATGGGAGATAATCTTGAGAAACTAAACACTTAAGCATTGCTGATATCATAGGAAAATGCACTTTGACAACTCAATTGCAAAAAGTGATCAAGAAACATGAAATTAATATTTCAATTAAGATATGGACCACAAAGCTTGTGTAAACATGTCTCAAACATACACACATAAATGGTCCACACATGCACAAAATCATGCTCAACATCAAGACTGAATATGGAAATAAAAACCCAAACCACACTGCACTATAAGAACTCATGTGCGTTATAACAGTTATTAGAAAGCACAAGAAAAATATAAGAGTACCCATGATTTAGAGAAACTGGAACACTGTACAGTGTTAATAAGAATGTGAAATACTTTAGTCTCTGTGGAAAACACTATGGACATTTCACAAAGAAAACAGTCACTCCATGTTGTCTAGCAATTATTCTTCCAGGTATTTATACAAAACATATTACAATAAATGCTCTGAGATATTAAAACTGTCATGTGAATTTCAGCACTAAACACTGTACCCAAGATGATGAAGCACCCTACCTTACCCATGAGGTATAAATGGACAAAGAAAACTTGTGTATACATACATACAAGAAATATTATTAATCCTTTGCACATTCAGAAAATTACAAAGCATACAAATATGCTACAGGTGACAACATAGATGCAGCTGAAGAATATTATGCAGACTAAAATCTGGTGTTATGGTTTGTGTCTGAATGTCCCCTCAAAGCCTCATGCAGTCATGGGTATGAATGCTACACCTGCCCTGGGGCAGGTAGATTACATAAAATGTAATGGAGAGAAAGAAGCTGCTGGCCTCCACTCTTCCCTTTTGCTCTTGTTTATTTTGCTGTCTTCTGCTGCCGGGAACTGTTGCCCTCTGCCATGTGCCACTCTGCCTTGGAGCCAGCCAAGTATGGACTGAAACCTCCACAAACTGTAAGCTGAATAAACCTTTCCTTCCTTCATTTTCGGCATCATGTATTTTGTCTTAGCAACAAGAGACAAGTAACCAAGACAGAATTTGGTACCAGGAGTGGGGTCTTTGCTGTGACTATGCCTGACCATGTGGTTCAAGAGCCTTTGGAAATGGCTCATGGGAAGTGTTTGGAAAGGTTCAGAAATGTCGCCTGAAGGAGTAGTGCTGGAAGGTCTTTGGCTGTTCTGTATGGGTGATTCTGGTCAAAGCTCAGAAGACCAGAAGACTGATAGAAATCCTGCCGGTAAAGACCTGGTTCAGATGTTTTTGCTGGGAAGAAGGACGGCACTAGGTGCTGGGCTCCAGATGACGTGTATTATGGCTTGGCAGAAGTTTGTCTGCATTTTGCTTGTGTCCAGAGACTTGGTCTGAGACTGAGATTAAGGGCAGTGGACTGATTAATCTGGCAGAAGAAATTTCCAGGCAGTCAAATGTTGGGCAGTGGCACGGCTATTGTTGGGGGTTTTAGCCAAATTTATGTTGAGAATTGAGAGCAAAGAGCCCAGCAGGATGATTTAAAATGTTGTGAGTTTGGCCAGAAAGAAAGCTCCAGTAAAGGTATGAATTGCAAAGACAGAGCTGAGAAAATCTTTATTGCTGAGAAAAAAGGGAGAATATGAGATAGCCTGAAGGCATCAGAACAAGCAGCAAGTCTCCACACTTTGCATCCTCAAAACTGCACAGGTAAAAGACATTGCCTTGAGGAGAAAGCTGCAGAATGCCATGTTCTAGAATGGCAGCAGGTGCTGCACCAAGTTCTAGAATGGAAGCAGCATAAAAAATATGCTCTTCAGAATTGGATTCAGAGTGGCAGCAATCCAGGCACTCCACCCCTATGGCCAAAGGAGACGACAGCTTGGCTACTGCTCCAGGTGGCAGCAGATGTTGGCATCATCCACGTGGTGCTGGTCTTAGGTGCAAACAGAATGCAAGAGTTGTGAGGTTAAAAAGGCTTCCCTCTCAATTTCAGAAGGCTTTGGAGGCCAGGCAGTGTGCCCCTGAGAAGGCAATGTGTGAAGCTGTATGAAGCAAAAGGTTCATTGGAGACCTCAGAAGTTTGGAAAAGCCAGGAATGTGGATTGTCTAGGGAAAGCTGCAAGGAGGGAGCAAAGCGGGCCCAAGAGAGAGGCCATGGGAGCTCTAAACACCAGAAGTACCATTTGGGTGGAGTCACGCAAGCCCTTTGGAGCTCACAATGTGCCATAGATTGCTTGGGATGTTCCAAATGGAACTACAGGACTTAATGTTTGCCCTGCTGGACATTGGACTTGCTTTGGTCCCAATGCTTTGCATCTCCGTTTGTAATTTTTGGAATGAAAATGCTTATTTTGAGCTATTGAATGTTGGAAGTGTTT